GTTAACGTAATTAGTGCCCAAAGAAACTCATTATTTAAAATAAGACAAAACTTACACAAAAGATTTAGATTATGTAGTTTATTTAATGGTGCACATTTTGAACACTTATTGTAATTTTTTTTCGTTTCGTTTTGAATTATTCACTTTGTTAATGATTTTATATTCACTTCATTGTTTAATTTATTTTCTGGTTTTTTTAAAATTTGTTACTTAGTCAAGTTTTTTTCCTAGAATGTTTATACAGGGTGGGAAAAAAAATTATGGCCCCATTAATGAACCAATGTTATAGTAGGTGGCGCCACCTAGTGTCATCGGTAAAACTAATATCATTTTCATATTAAGCATACTAAATATTAGCAAGATACTAAATTTTACTTAAATCGGTTGAATAGTTTTCAATACATGCCTAAAAATAATATAAAAAAATATTAATAAATCACCTTGTAGAACAAAAACTAGCAACATTTTGCCTAAGCAATTTGAGCTCAGACGCTTTATTTTGATGTCAGCTATCACCCATTAGCTAATGTCCAATTAATTATGGGACACCCTGTATATGAAAAAAGACCTCCTCTTCCCATGGAAGAAGTAAATATTTAAATATTGATGGTATTTATTTGTCATAATTTAATAAATGTTTAATATTGTTCTAAAAAAATTGTTCCACTTCCGAAGTGAAAATCCAAACGTCAAAGTACACTAATTTTAAAGTAAAATTCTCGCTAATTTCGAGTAAAAACAGTAAATTGTAATAAATTGTTATTATTAATATAAACTTTGATTATTAAATTAATAATATTAAAAAAAACAATAAATATATATATATTTTACGGTTATTTTAAATTAATCCAGCAATTAAATATAAAAAAAAATAGAACAAAAATCACGACAAGTATTTGGATGGATGTAAGTTTAAAATTGAGTAAATATTTTTACATAAATAATAAATATATTTTAATATATTTTCCAGTCGTATCTACAAATGGTTTTACTTCTATTAGCACCATCCCAAGCCAATATTAAATTTTTATCGAAAGTAGTTTTTTAATGAAAATTTATAAATCCAAGTTATAATAAAACTTAAACCTGAAGAAATATTATTTCTTCAGGTTTATATTTATGTACAGAATAAAATTAATTTATCTTTTGACGCTCAATGTCACTAATTTTTAAATATTTCGCTCTGAATCCATGATTGCTATTTTATTTTATTTGCAGAAATTAAATATTGGCATATTCATTATATCAAGAGCAAGTATTTGAAAAAATAATATTACTAGTTAGCAACGCAATATATCGACCCAACTCAGGCGTCATTAGACCTACAATTCCAAGTTAATAACATACTGCAATTGAGTATGTCGTTTAATTAAATTAATTACTATTAGTCCATCATTAGGTATGTGTTCTAGAATGCTGTATTCACTGGGGAAGTGTTGACGTACCTTTTAGACAATCCCCGAGCCCACAAAATGTATTTTACTTTTAGATAATTACATAACTGTCTGGCAACCGAGTAAATTTGGTACCAGTATGTTCGTTATAAAAATCTGCACGTTTTTTAATTAATTTTTATTATTTAAAGTGAAGGAACATGTAAATAAACAAGATAAAATCGAAAATATAAAAACAAAATTACAAAAACATATACACGGAATGTGTGAGAGCAGAACACGAGTGTGTTAATAAATAAAGTCATCTCAAATCAGTGGACACAGATCCACATCTAAAGCCCTTCTGGCCAAGGCTCTTCAGGCATACCCCTTAGGCAAAAAGACCCTTCAGGAAACAGTCCATTAGGACAACTGTGCCCTAAACAATCGCGAAACCTGAGCACCGAGGCCGTGTGCGACATACACTGGCTCGATGGCCACACTCATCAGTCAATCATCTGGCAAGGAGACCAAAACTTGTTTTGCCAAATTGGAGACTGTTGCACACAACTTCCGAACAGGAGGTCGTCAGATACGCTGACCCCATGATTGAACACACATTTTTCCGGGACACAGAGACCAAAGTCAACTTGCCAATAAATTCATTAAAATAAATAGGGAGAAAAGCTACGTTAAGCTACCCCTACAGTCAGGCCTAACCACAAGTCAAGAAAAACGGAGAGATTTTTCCTTTCCCAAAAGCCCCCTACGTAATAGTTCATAGCCTCCTCTGCGTATGTCAGACGTAGAAGAGGTGTGGAGAGAAAACCTGGGGTCAGTTAGGTACTGAGCCAAAATGATTTACTCTTTGGGAACGAGACCAGTCTGATCTTCGGATAAGGTGGTCCCACTGACTAGCAGTGGTACACTCATGTTCCTAGGGGTTGGGATGAACTCATGTGCGTGTGTATAAACTATTTATTTAAAATGCAAACTACGAATAATTTACATGTTAAATTTACATAGCAATACCAAGGATTTGGCCCACAAAATCTAACTCTTAATAAAGAGTATTAAAAAAAGATAATTTTTATAAATATAAATACAAATTTAGTCCAGATCAAATATTTAATGTGGACGAAACAGGCATCAATGCAGTTTACAAACCTGGCAAAATCCTACGGGCAATAAACAAGTAGGAGCTGCCATCAGTTGGGAACAGGGTGGAACATAGCTATCTGTTGCTGTATCAGTGCAACTGAATTCATTGCTAGAGCAAGGAACACCGAAAGATTATATTTATAAATGTATTAAGTCTAAGTGGATAATTGAGGATACATATGGATATTCCATTTTAGAGAACAGACAAAATTATTGATAGAGGACCCAATCTTATTGATCTCAGACAATCACAGTAGAGAATGTACAATTTTTGTTGCAAAAATGGCATCATCATGGCGACAATACCGCCGCATACTTTGCAGAGGACCCAACCACTGGATCTCACAGTGTTTAGTCTATTGAAAGCAGCTGTGTATATAGAATGCGATACATACACAATACTCCAATAATATGATAGACTAATAACAATGCAATGAATCCCACTGTGTACCAAAGCATATTTGAATGTTGCTAATGCAAAAAAAGCAGTTAGTGGATTCCAAGCAGCAGGAATTTGCTTAGTGCAAATGTTTTAAATCAATTGATACAAAAAGGAGATGAAAACTCCCCTGATAGGATTTCCGCCTAACAAGCTGTTGAAAATATAGGGATGGAGTCTGAAAATTTAAGAGCACTCAATTTATTAGATATTCCTATGAATTCTAATGAGTCTTCGGTATCTACAAATACAGGATCAATTGAATCCGTTGACGTTGCACATCCAACAACATTAGGAATCCAAAATTCACTGGTTCCTGAAAACCTAGAACTAGATAAAGTTAATAATCTACTTCTATCGACGTCAAGAACCACTTAGTTAACGCAGGCACAAATTTATGACGTCAAACGACAATTTTTTGTGATTTCCTAGAACAATAAAATACCTGAACGCATATTAGCTTTCAGTGAAATATTAGCACTTGAAAAGAAGAACACCCCAAAGGAAAAAGTGAAAGGTAAAAGCACAAAACAGCAATCAAAAGTATTTACGTCAACACTTACTAGAAAACGGGATGAGACTAGAAAATGTATTAAAAACAGAAAAAATAAAAATAATATAAAAAACCAATTGCAAAGGAGAAGGAGGAGAGTTCATTATCTTCTGAGTCTAGGACATAACAAAACCTTTCATGTGATGATGAAGAAGAGTTAGATGAAGATTTTGTTAACGGAAGGGGAGATGAGACTGGTGTTGAGGAACTATGCATCATTTCTGGTGATTTCAGTAAGGATAAAGAACTATGATACAGGTGTGTAAACTGTGGACGCTGGTCGAATGCTTTGTGTTCGTGATTTAATTCTGGTGATAATGACTGTATTACCTAGCAATGACTTATGATAGATAATAACTATAATTTTTACCTTTGTTCTTATATAAGATATAATTGTTTACATAACCATTTTTAGTGTTTTTATTATGGTTAATACAATAATTAACACTATTATTGTGGTGATAACTGTTCAATAGAAAACGAAATCTTGAATTCTTCCAGTTCTTCGTTGGTTAATATTATTAGGACTTCCCGTGGATTTAGTAAAGAACTCACGACCGGAAGTGAAACTGTTTAATACTTCTATGTAAACGTAAATGTAACAATATAAAGAAACTAACTTGATTGTAATAATGAAATAAAAATAAATGTTACCAATATATTATTACTACATGTTGCTAGTTCGATGCCTTGAAACAAAAAGGTTTTTTTTCCGAAAGGATGATTAAGTTCAGCCAGATATCTTTCCGTTAAGACGTAACGGGACTTCTTATCTTACCTTCGAGATAAGCTGTCGCCGAGATGCAAAAGACAACAGGGGCGTCGTCAGGTCAATTAGGTCTTAACAATAATTATGTATGTATGAAATTAGCCGATTACGTGTACGGAGTTACCCGACTGATTCGCTTAACACCGTACTAACGTAGTCATAATTTTTAAAGTGCTTCAAATGGGTTTTTTATTTTGGGTTCTGATAAAAATTAAGATTTCAATTTTTATCTTTTAATGAATAGCAAAATTTGTATGAACGGCAATACCCTCCGTTTCCCTAAAGAGGTTTTCATTTTAGTCTAAAAGAAATAATATAAAGTTTGTAAATCGATAGATAACATTGTCTTCGGAATAGCCTTAGCAATTTTACAGTAAAAAAGAATAATAATGGTGAAGAAATTTTAACCGCCATTACAGAAGATCAGCTAATAAAATGGAATAACTTTTGCAATTTCATTTACGGTCGTTGTCGACGAAAGAAAAAAATTCAAGGAGTACGTATGCGTGTGTGGGGATTATCATGATTAAAAAGTTTGAACCAATGTTTCTTGTCAAGAGCAATTAGCTCACTGTTGCCTAGTTCCATTTTTTCTGAAAAATGTAACATTTTAATAAATATTTACTAAATATTTTATTTGGTATACTCAACATTTGCGGCCTGGCCTACTTTCCTGAAAATTAAATTAATTAATTAAATTCTACCTCGCATTTTAGATGTATATTTAAGCTAATTTACAAATTACTAAAAGAATCGTATAAATAATTGCTAAACTAAATGATGCTGCTGTATTAGATGAACCAGTGCCGGTGTCGTCATCGGCAGTAGTATTGAAGTAAGTGATGTTTGACAGAGCACTGAGGCCAGCGACGTTTTTCGTTGCGGCTACGATTTCATATTTTGTGCTGGAATTGAGACTCGTCAATATGTAAGTATCTGAAAAAGAATAAATATTGTAATTTCGTTAAACACTTCATATTTATGTCATATATATTTATTCGGATTGTAACCGTTTCAAAAGTTTTAGAAAATTCATTATAAATTTTTTTTTAATAAAACTACTAACCCCACCTATCTGCCAGGTGCTGGTATTCGACTCAAGGTTTCTACGGTAATTTTCAACATATCCTATAGATGAGAACGATATTAACTTGTCAATCACGCACCAATTCAAAACCGCTGAAATAGCGTCGCTTCCTTTCCTGTTACAAACGTCCACCCGAGAGGACGTGTTTTAGAAGTGAGTTCATGTTATCTAATTGTGTTTGAAATTTTGACGTACTACGTAGTTTTTTTGTGCATTTGACCTTACCACATCTTCTCTCCGACATAGAGCTAACCTGACCTTAAATTAAATGTGTGTACTAGATGTTATCAAATATCGACGTTACAGGATTACAAATCTTGTAAACTTCAGACAGAAATATACAGTATGGTAGAAATGAAAGGAATAAATTTGTTATTTCGTAAACCGGAGACTTTAAGGAACAATCCTGAAACCCGTAGATTTTTATTTTTAAATAAGCTATTCGTAAGAATACATTTTTATTTTTGACGTCATCTATGTGAGCGTGATGGCGTCATTGCTAAAATTTTTAAATAGAAAGGGGGTATTGTAATACATCATTTGAAAGGTCTTTTAAATACCTATTTAGCCATATCAATATGTCTGAGTGTTTGATGTTTGTAATTCTTTAAAAAAAATATTAAATATTTATTATTACAATAAATATTTATTAAGTATTGATATGATGTATTATTGACACCCAAAAATAAATTTTATAAAGGCCATCACTGGTAATGAAATGTCTTTTTTATCTACTTTTTACCTTTTTAAAAAAACTAGTTACCTTATCAATATGAACATTGATAGTTGGACATTCAAACTTAATTATCTTTCTGTCAAGTGATTAATAGTATTATTGTAGTAAACGTATTCAAAAAGTCTTTGTATCTTTGAACATGAAGCTGACTGAAACGCAAAGGATTGAAATTCTCATAATGATTGGTTATGGAGATAAAACACGTACGCAGAAAGAAGTATGTGAATTATTTAATAATAAATACCCCCGTCGAGAACCAATTTCACAATCCACTGTAAGCAAAATTAAAAAACAATTTAGAGAAACGGGTCATGTTAAAGACCTTCCTAAAGGTAGTAGAAAACCAATATTTGAAAACCAACAAGTCGACGTTCTGTTAGCTTTTCAAGATCATCCTCATAAAAGTTCACGGCAAGTAGCATTAGATAATGACATGGATCATTCAACAGTTCTTAAACAGCTAAAGAAAGAAAAGTGGCACCCCTACAAAGTAAGTTTAGTGCAAGAACTTATGGAAGATGATTTTGATAGACGAATTGAATTTTGTGACATACTGGAACGAAATAACAGAGATCCGATGTTTTTAAAAAAGATTATTTTCTCTGATGAAGCTACTTTTCTTCTAAACGGTCCTGTCAATCGTCAAACTTATCGGTACTGGGCACTCGTTAAGAGTACCGTACTCAATACCCAGAGAAAATTAATGTTTGGGTGGGAATAATAGATAATAGGTGTATTGGACCATACTTTTTCGAAGAAAACTTAACAGGTCCTCGATATTTAGAATTTCTTTAAAATTGCTTGCTTCCAGAATTGAACCTGTTGTTTCCAAATAGAAATGATTTATGGCTACAGCAAGATGGTGTGCCCCCACACTATGTTGTCTTGGTACGCAACTACTTAAACAACGTCTTTCCAAATCGGTGGATAGGTCGAAGAGGAACAATAGAATGGCCGCCTAGGTCACCTGATTTGACTCCTCTTGAATTTTTTTTATGGGGATATTTAAAAAGTAAGGTGTATCAAAATAGACCACAAAATATTACTGAACTGAAAGAAAGAATACGTAATGACGTTGTTCAAATAACTCCGGAAGTTTTAGAGAATGTTAGAGAAGAGATCGCGACACGGCTTTCTCATTGTATTTTAGATGAAGGTAAACAATTTAAGCACTTAATTTAGGTTTCGTTGTATTTATTGAATAATACTTAATAAATATTTATTGTAATAATAAAAATTTAATTACTTTTTAAACAATTACAAACTTTAATTACTTAGACATATTGATATAGCTGAATAGGTATTTAAAAGACCTTTCAAATGATGTATTACAATACCCCTTTTCTATTCAAAAATTTTAGCAATGACGTCATCACGCTCACACGTCTCCGGTTTACGAAATAACGAATGTATTCCTTTCATTTCCACCATACTGTATCATTATATCGTTTACAAATAAAATTAAGTATAATTTTTAAATAAATAAAATAAAAGGAGATTTTCTCACTATTCTCCTATATTCCACTTTATACAGCGCTTCGTTTTTTCAGTTTAAGACATTCTTTTTCGTGTGTTCCTCTCGAATTCTTCTTTCTATACTGTCGCTCTATTTTTCTCTTGGTTTTCCTTTCTTTTTATCCGAATTGAACCTATTAGCAGAACCATTTTAGGCTTCCTTCTATTATTCATTCGATAGACTTGTCATAGCAACAGCACCGGATTAAGGGGCGGAAAAGCCTCGACTGCTGGGGGCGCCCAAATTTTGAGAGGTGCCGATGTAAAATAAAACATGTTTTACTTTTATTATTTTTTAGATTTTATAAATTAAAGTTAATTATTTTTCATGAGACATTGATTGAATACTTGTAATATTATTTTTAAGAAAAACATTTTTAGATCACAATAATCTACTTAAAAAATAGACAAAATCAAATTTATAAATTACAAATATCAAAACAATTATGGATGGGAAGTGATACTATATACTGGCACACCTTAATGGTTAAGTAATTTTGTATTTTTGTAAACTTGACATTAACAATACTTGCCGTGCGTGCTTTAAAGTACAATATATAAAAAGTATTGTTACGTATTTGTTGTGGAATTACTTAATTTTGATTATTTTTTGATAAGTAAGTATTCACGCGATAAATAATATAAATTAATAATTAAACTTATTGAAAATCATAGTATTGATATAATTTTAGGCTAAAACGGCTATTATAATGCCTCCAAAAAATTATCAGGATATAAAAATCGTAAGAGTAAACAACAACAACAACAGGAGTAAAAAAAGCAAAAAAATGTGTTCTTTAGATAAGAAAAAACCGAAAAACTAAAATTATTAATTTTCAATTACAATTGAGTCTCTATATGCCAGGGTGTCTTGTTTCGTGATGTAGATGTCCAATAAAGATTTCTCCCACCGTTGCCTGTCAGAATTCAATGGAATTCAATGGACCCTTCTTAGGCTCTTACTTTAATCTGGCAATACGGCAATTAAAAAAAACTATATGAACACAATATATGATGTATGCTACTGAGGCCAGTGAATTTATTCTAAGTTTGTTTATTGTTATTTATATATAATAAAAATTGTTTGGTTTCACCTATTTTAATTTATGTTTTTATTATTTTTTTATTCCTTTCTCAGTTGTGCGCAAATTTATTCCTAAAATCTATGTTTATAAAATTCAACGACTACGTATTATGTAGAATGTAATATTTGTTAGAATAAATAGTTTTATTTTACGACAAACTGTTAACATTACATACCTGAAATGTAAAAATAGTTTGGGTTTTATTACTTTAAACAAAAAGTAAGATAAAAATGGGGTGCTGCAGACACCTCGCGAGTTGACACGTTTCTGAAATAGGCGCGATTAACATTATTTACGTTAATAATAACCTTAATTTTAACTAGTTGTGGCATTAATTTGAGACAATAGTAATAAGAATAACAAGATGCAATTAAAACAAATAATGGCAATTACTCTAAACATATATTATTGTCTATGAATGTAAATAAACATTAGAGGTCATGTAAGAGTTCACTTTCTTTTCATCCCCGATATGAAAACGAAACAAATCTCACCGTTTTTAACCTATAAACATGTGCTTAAGATACAAATTGAATTCTTTCTTTCTTATATGAAACAATCCACTTACGTATTGAATCTCTTAGTATTATGTTTCAATACAACATCCGTTTTGCTTCAACCATATGTCCCAATTCTCAGCGAGAATTCAAATAAGACAAACAACATCTGCGGTTATGATTGTCTTGCTTTTAATATTAAATTATTCTGGCATGATTGCATTGGATTTGGATATCGGAAATAATTTGAAATATGGACTTAGAGCAACAATTAATCATTTGTGATTACTAAAATTTCTTGTTAAAATTCTCATAAATATTATATATTTGATGTGTTTCCTATTATGAATGAATAATTTTGTGGAATCGGTAGATTAGTCTTTTTTTATTTATTTCTTTTAATAAACATTTTTTTATCTATTATTTAGTAATATTTAATCTTAAATTAATTCAAATTTTTTCTTTCTTTGTTACTATTGTCTTTTTTTATTTTAATATCACTTTGAATTCTTAAATCAAAACAAATCAAACCAAAGAATCAAAGAAAACCACAACAAAGGTGGCAATTCCATATGATACAAGCAATGTTGTATTTTGTTTCATGTAGTCTCATTATTACACGTCTTTAGATGGGAAGAAGTAGGAACAGGTAACTTCTTAGTACCTAGTAGGCAAACTTTATATTCTTAAACCGTGAATCTACAAAGTACAACTACTCCTACACCCACTTACCAGATATCTATTCCAAAGAAAATTAACCAATCTGCATATCCAAGTAGCTATAGTTGAAAACAGTACTGATTAATGGAATACCCATAGAAAAAATGTACACAAAATACCTTCAGAAATGTTAGGAAAAAGAAAAAAGGACTATAAGAAAAATAGAGGACTTCAACGATATAACGCCGAACTTAAAAACACGATATATATATGTAACGATCGGTTTATAGCGTCTTGTGCCTTCTGGTTTCTTCATTCACGTCTATGAACCCAAAAGTCTTGATACTCCAGGAAGCCATGTTATTTTCGGTCTCCCTCGTTTTTTTTCACTTAGGTGGCTGCCAATCCAATATTATCTTCGGTAGACGATGGTCTATCATTCTCTGTACATATCCGTGCCAAATAAACTACTTAAAAACACAATTGAAAAGAAAAAATAAGCCTAATTAAATTACCTACATACACCAACAGATGAAAACAAAGAACTATATAAGATAATACTAAATAAAGTTTAAAATGCCACAAGAAATGCTCAACCCTCTAGTTGGAAGAGATTTATCAGTAACATGGAACATGAGATCCATAGATGGTAGAAGGTAGTATACCAAATAATACAGCATCTAAACAAATATGAAAAAGACACGAAAAGAGCATATTATGGAAAGAGCACTGTAGGAATCTGTGGTACAACTAAAGCCCAAAAACCTCTCGAGAAACACAAAGAATAATAATATAGGAATTCGAAGAAGTCATTTTTTGCTAAAAAAAATGTAAAAACCACTGGAACAGCTAAGATAATCATGAAGTATTTAAAATAAGACGGTCACCTACTTAAATTAAGACTCCTACACTTCTACACTTCCTACACTTGTAGAAACAGGAAAGGTCAATTAAAAAATTGCAAGAAGGATAGAGCAATATGGAGGATGTGGCACAGTAAGCAAAGTTGCTGATCCCAAACATAAGCAATGCTTGCCCCAATTACTCCAATGCACCTTGGGGTAATGAGAGCCACGCTGACCTTCATCCAATGTGGTCCCTATTATCCAGTGGACTTCTTTTGAAATTTATTTCAGATGCCCAACACATGGAAAAGAAGAACCGATAAGGGTCCGTGGAAATCAGACCTCCAAAGATGTGTTAGGTTGGTGGTTAATGGAATGAGTAATATTCCTTCAATCAAATATTCTATACCAAACATTCCAATGGAGACAAATTGTTAGGAATATTGGAAGAAATTGGAACAAACCACAATCCTCAGTAATGGGGAAAAGGCAAGAGAGAGATTAAAATAATCTCAAACAAAACCCAATTTTTAGTCTTTAGTCGTTACCCACATCCAGATGTAGATCTTAAATTAAGTAGAATTCATATTGAAAAAGTTACAAAGTTACAAAATTACATATTTGGGAACTGTCATAGCGAAGCAACTAGATCCAGGCATATAAATAAAACGCAGAATAACAATGACTAAATCTTGTTTTATAAAAATGAAGATATTTTATTGCAATAATAAACTTAGTCTAAAACTAATATTGAGAATAGTAAACTGTTATATTTGATCTGTACTTTTATATGGAGCAGAAGTCTGGACATTAAAAGTGTCAAGTATGAATAGAATTAAAGCATTGGAGATGTGGATTTATAAACTGATGCTGAAGATACCTTGAACAGCAAGAAAAACTAGTGAGGAAGTACTAAAGAGGGTTAACAAAGATAGAGAATTGCTAAATACTGTTAAAAACCGAAAATGTCTAGTATGTGACATATAGTGAGAGGAAATCGATATAGCGAAATAAGTATACAACCGATCCTTAAAGGCAAATTAGAAGACCGAAGAGGTGTAGGAAGAAAACAGGTTTCTTTAGATTATACTCAATGGACTGAACGTTTTTGCACCACGTTTACTCTAAATGATAATATGCATCCACATACATGTCGTATAGTGCGTACAGAAGAAGTTGTTGCTGTTGTAGAGCGTAGCATATAGTAAGACCCGAATTATTCTATCTGCCGTCGTGCACAGCAGTTGGATGCGTGTCCATCCACTTTATTGAAGATTCTGTGTAAAGATCTTACTTTGCGTACTTACAAAATCTACCTCCTCAACTTCGTTTTAAGAATTAAAGGTAGGTACCTAGCAAAGGGTAAATTCGGTGAGGGGTCCAAAACGAGATTGGCGTTGATTCAGATTTTAATAAGCCAATTTTGTTTAGTGGTGAAGCTCAATTTTGGTTAAATGGCTACGTTAACAGACAAAATTGCCCTATTTGGAGTTAAAATAATCCTGAAATGTATGTTGGAAAACCAGTAGATACAAAAAACTTGACTGTTTGGCGTTCTTTATGAACTGGTGGAATTATTAGACCGTACTTTCATAAAAACGATGCTGGCCAGAACGTTAATGTCAATGATGACCGCTGTAAAGCCATGATTACTGCCGTTTTTATTCCTTAATTGAACAACCAGGATGTGTAGGAGCTGTCGTTTGAATAAGACGGCGCAATATGTCACACAACTCATGCCACAATTGTTTTATTAAAGGAAATGTTTGGTAACAGCATAGTGTCACGTTTCGGACCGCTAATTGGCCTCCAAGATTGTACGATTTAATACTGCTAAAATATTTTATGTGGAAATGTATGAAGGTGCCAGTCAACATTGACAAGCATGAAACGATTGACCACTTGGAGGACAACATTCGCCGCGTTATTGTCGATAGACCCAGTAGACGAGTAGACCCAGTCATCGCCCCCCTACCGAAAGTGGTTGGACAACCACGTAGGCTTCGGCACACTGGTACCCTACGAAACCCCGTTGGATATGGCAGATGGGATCCAGACGGCCGAGAAGAAGACGAACCCGTTGGAGGAGTTGGCACACCGACTGAGGATGGACCTGCAGAAGTTTGAGATGCCGTCATCACCATCGACCTCTTCTGTAGGTAGTGCAGTGCTGTGAATTTTTGAACTTTTATTGAATATTATTCTTTTTATTATTGTGATTGTTTACATTTCAATAAATTTCTTTCCCAGCCACAGAGTCTCCAGAGGAGGGGGATTTCATCGAATGCGATAGTCGCAAGACTAGTACGCACTTCGATGCGCATCGCCCCGCCTCGAATTTTCCCGTTGGTCCCTGACCTGGAAATCCCTATTTATCGCTACATCAGCGTATATAAATATTGAGATTTTCAGGTCAACCAAGTCAGTCCCTCACGGGTTCTTCTAGAGCTTAGTGCTTTAGGGCTCTGCTCTTGTTTTTAGCATTTTCCATACTTTGTGGCTTAGATTTTATTCTACTGTAACCTGGTAGTTTTATTTCGACTTAACCTTTGTCATGTGAGAAATATCTTGCCTTTTTTAAGGCAAGATACCAGAAGAAAACATTTACGAGTCCATACCCTGAAAATGGACTTAAGTAGAGCAGCTATCGTCGATGTTTTCGAAGCCCTCTACAGAGCACCCGGAAGCTACAGAAGGTGTTTAGACCCTTAATTGTTCCCCCAAGGTGATATGCTGCTCTTTTATACACATCGTGTTTGAGCTTTCGCAGCGCTCTTTCGCCGAAAGGCCAGTGACAGCGAAGTTAATAACGAGCGCTGTGATTGGCCGGCCGGAGTGGCAATCTTTGTCGAGATTGGCTACTCTGGCGACAATATAAAGGTATATAATAAACTTTAAAGCGAGAGAGAACTAAACAATTGCTTAGAATTATTTATTAAAAAATGTCAATAATATTTGAAAGGTACCAATAACCCTCAGTGTGCTTTACTTTTATTTGCTATATAAATATAGGAAAACTAAACATAATAAACTGTCTGTAAATACCAGTGATGCCAATTTTATATACTAATTACTTCATTATTAATTAGTTTTCTATTAGACCTACACGTGTAAGGTCAAAATGTAACTAAGCAAAATCAATACTTTACCTAAAGTGATATTAAATTCTTGTTCATCCCAATACTCAGCTTCCTCCACTTTGTAAAATACATTTAGCCAATGTGGTTCCATGTTATTCGCAATGGCATCTTCATCCGTTTCTGGAACTTTTACTACCAATTCCAAAAAATCGGATCCAGCAGTTTTAAGTTCAATCGCCTCAGGTTGCTGTGGCCTCGTACCAATTTGAAGATCAAAAAATTTTTTTAGTTTGCCATATTTATTACTTGCCGTGCATTGGTACTTGTCCGGAGTTTCTTTAGTCATTTTTAACTGGAAAAAAAAGTATAGTAAATTTGGATTATCCGTAAAAAACGTCAAAATAAAGTGAGGTTTGGTTTGCTTGGTTTGTTAAGTAAAATATTTTGAAAATAAAAGGCAAATATCGACTACAATTTTAACAATTAAATCTTTGGCAAGATTTAATTGTTAAAATTGTGCTCGATATTTGCCTTTCATTTTCAAAGTTCAGTTATTCGAGCATTCAACCTTATATCAAATAAGGTATTGTAAAATCTATAATAGCAGCAGTTTAAGATCATTCTTTGTAGTTTTTATTAGCAACTATTTTTTTTTCAATTTTTTAGGAAAATACGTGTTTACAAAGTAAGTTGTTCTTTAAGTGCCATTATACACTTGCGTGCATAGAAATCGGCCCACTGTAAACTATTTTTTTTTTTTTCAAGAAATATTCATCAGATCACAAAAACAAATATACTGTTTGAAAGACAATTTAATATGCTTTAATGTGAGTATAAATTTATCAAGAAGGCTTATCGTTTACATGCGTAGTAACCGGTAAACAAATGAAACGTATTTATGTGGTGATTGTCACGAAAATAACAAATTTGTCTAATTGTAAAAGTATTGCCTTTGCAAGTGAAATTTGCATATTATTCGTTTTTCATAATCTCAGCAGTGTTCAAGTGTGTTGGTTTAATGCATACTACACCACAAAAAGCCGCCCAAGTTATTGACAAGTTGCTAGACAATTGGATATGACACGCGCAGCGGTTCGAAGAGTGTGCCAATGTTATGAGGAGACTAGATCCTTCCATAGGCGATCTGAAACACGCAGACGGCGATTTACAACCGCTCTTGATGACCGCTTTATTGTGTCAACAACATTAAGAAATCGTCACCTTAATGCCGTTCAGGTGCAACGACAGCTCCGTGAGGTGCGAAGAGTGGCTGTTAGTCAGTGGACAGTAAGACGAAGACTGCGGGAAAATAACCTGACCCCTAAAACACCTGCGATTGGTCCAAAACTTACTCCAACTCATCGGCAAGCACGCCTGCGTTTTGCACAGGATTATTGGAATTGGACGTTGGAACAATTGGGATCTGTTCTGTTCTCAGATGAGACCAAAATATGCCTCTATGGTAGCGACCGAAGAAGGAAAGTGTACCGGAGACCAGGACAGAGATTTGCAGAATGCCGCTTTGAAGAGCGGAGTGCTTATAGGGGTAGTTCCTGCATGATCTGGGGTGCAATTTCTATAGGACGACCGTGTTCACAGAAGAAGAGGTTTAACGACTGCCAGATATATCGAGGAGATTTTAGCAATTCATGTGGTACCTTACGTCGACTACATTGGAGACGAATTTATCTTTATGCATGACAATGCAAGGGCACACACCGCAAGAATCGTGCAAGATTACATTGCAGAAGTCGGTTTTCAGGTTATAGACTGGCCAGCAAACAGTCCTGACCTAAATCCGATCGAACATTTATGGGATGAGGTAAAACGAAAAATTCGAGCTAGACTTCATAACCCAGACTCGATCCCAGAGCTTATTCTTGCAGCAGAAGAAGAGTGGCTTAACATCCCACAAGCAATAATAGCAAACTTGATTAGATATATGCTTAATCGTATGAGAGATGTTATTAGGGCAAGAGGAGGTCATACATATTATTAAAAAATTAAGTGTTAAGTTTTAAATTGTCAATAACCCTATTTATGTTAATAATAAAAAAGCTTAATTTGCTTAATGAATTAATTTCACTATGTTAAACATAGGAAGCCAAAATAAGTTTTCATAAATTTATACTTACATTAAAGCATATTAAATTGTCTTTCAAACAGTATATTTGTTTTTGTGATCTCATGAATATTTCTTGAAAAAAATACATATAGTTAAAGTCTAAAGTTTAAAGTGGGGCAATTTCTATGCACGCAAGTTTATATATTTTATTATATCTGTGGCAGATTTTTATGCGTATTTTATTTTTTTATTTGAAGTCAACAATAATAATTAAACAAGGAGACATAACTCAAACATAAAACCCAAATTCAATACAGTTTCTATTTCAGCCGATGTTTATCTAGGAATTATCGTCAAAAAACAATAAAATGTATAAGAATAGAAAGAGAAGCAGAATCAGGATTTTTTGTGCCAAGATAAACCTATGTCTCAAGTTTCAATACTCTATGAATTTTCAGTCATGAAAAACAAACGGTATACTATTATGGGAAAAAGAATACCTATTATTCCCAAATTCACAATGTTCGTTCTTAGATTAAGATGAGCCTATGGAAGATTATAGGACTTCAAGAGTTATCTCACAGCTGTACAGACAGACGAAAGGAAGGAGAGACAGACAATAACAGGAAGTTAATAAGGAATTGGCTTCAATCCTTAATAAAGTATTTAAGTAGGCAGTACTTAAAAAATCCAGTTAAGCACAAATTTATTAAGATTAACATACAATATCTATTAATAAGGCATGTGGATACTTTTTAAGGCAGAAATTTAATCAATGAATTGTATAAATTATCTACGTATAACTTAAACATGTATAAGTGTACAGAAATATCTAAAACCTCAAAGGTTACTCAGGTAGCAAATCTTCCTCTTCTCTTTTATGTAGACATGACTCGATCAGTTTTTTAATGTGCCTTCAGTAAGTTATCGGGATGTAATGGGATAGTGAAGCTCAACATATAGCCATTTCTATTCAAATGTCAACCTTACCTGCTCGTATAATGATCTAGATCATGATCATCTGGTACATCCTGCCAGATAACTAACGAGGATCTGACGTCCGAGTGTTTGCCGGGATAAGCAATCAACCATTTACTGACCAACGGCTTAGGGTTAATGAGCTAGTAAATGGAAGGACACTCTGTTGTCTTGAGACTGAAAAATTGGTCTTGAAGGCGAAAGAACTAAGAAAGTGGTCAACGGCATTAGAATGCAGAAAGCAACGAAAAACCACTGCATTAAATCTCCCTGATCACATCTCTAGTATAAATTATAATGGCTAGCATTATTTGCGCAAGAAAAATTATTGATTATGGTAATCGGAGACCAAAATCCGGCAGGGGAGGACAACCATCAGAACGCAAGGCCTCTTCGGTCGTCAACATGCGAAACCCTTGCACAAAATACCACAAAAGAAATACTCAACACTCTCAGATAAAAATAGCTACCTGGAATGTAAAAAGTATGTATCAGCCTGGAAAACTACACAATATTATTAAAGAGAAAAAGAGGCTAAATGTAGATATACTTGGGGTTAGCGATGTACAATGATCAGGAAATGGAGAGATATCAATAAATAACCACAATATTAATTACACTCTAAGAGACAAAACTGATCATCGATACGGAGTAGCTTTCATCATAAGCAACACTATTAGAAAATCAGTGCTAGGTGTGATTCAAATCTCAGAAAGAATAATAATGCTAAAAATTCAAGATCGGATCTGTAATATTAATATGATCCAAGACTACGCTTCCACTGCTGATAAGACCGAAGATGAGATCGAAAAGTTTTATTCAAAATTGCACAATACAATCAAGTTAACAAAATCTAGAGATCTATCTATCTATCTATACAGCCCTAAAAATCCATCCTTGGATATAGGCCTCCTCCTACTTCTTCCATGCCTCTCTATCTTGGGCAATTTGCATCCATTTTGACCCGGCGTATTTCTTCAGGTCATTTGACCATCGCATTTGTGGCCTTCTTTCATCTTTCTGCCTTAGGGTGTGTCCGTCGAACTTCCATTTAAGCTTTGCTACTTGGGTTAAGACATCTGTCACTTTTGTTTCATTACGGATCCATTTGTTTCTTTTTCTGTCTGATAGTTTAATGTTCAGCATTTGTATTTCTTACATTTTAGGAGATTTTAATGCAAAAATTGGAGTAGGTACAATTGAAAATATAGTTGGACAGTTCGGACTAGGAACTAGAAACGAGAGAGGAGAAAGGCTCATAGAATTCTGTTAAGAAAAGAATATGGTTATTGCCAATACCTGGTTTCAGCTTCCTAAAAGAAGACTATACAAATTGACGTCTCCTTCACATACAGAAAACCACATTATCAGAATCCAGATAGACTTTATACTCGTAAATAGCAGATATAAAAACTCTATAACCTCAGTTAAAACTTATCGTGGAGCAGATGTTAACTCAGACCACAATCCGTTAGTGGCTGACGTGAAAATAAAATTAAAAAGAATTGAACTCAGAAAACAACAACCAAAAATTAACGTAAGAATGGTACAAAACGAAGAAATAAAAAACGAATTATAAAATAATGTGAATGTTAATATGCAAAAAACACTAAGTGACAACAAACAAATTATGGATGTAAACACAAAGTGGTATAATATAAAAAAAAACAGATTACTGAAACCAGCTCAAGAAAGTGTAATAGAACATAGATCAGAGGCTAAAAAACACTGGATGACAGAAGAAATACTATAACTGATTGAAGAAAGAAGGAAATATAAAGGAAAACATCAACAGAAGTAGATCTGGTGTATTTGGTGAAGCAATGTAAAGAGATAGAAGAACTAGAAACAAAACATGATATGAGAAATATGCACAAAAAAATTAGAGAAGTGACTGGAATGGGTCGAAATAGACAGCAAGGACACATAAAAGACAAAAAAGGAGTACTACTAATAGATTTACCAGAGAAGTTAAGGCGATGGGAGGAGTACGTTAGAGCAAATGTCTTTTATTTGATCAAAGTTCATTATAGAATTGTTATAAATTTTACCGTGAAACAGGTAAAAAATAAAAAACCGAAAAAAATCTGACAACCTCGCATGACCAATGTTCTCAATTAGCCTAACCTTAGCGGTTTCAGATATTTCTGTCGATATGTAGTTTACTGAATGTAAAACTTTATGAGGTGTGGGGTTAATTGCCACCTGTGATAAAATTTTTTTAATTAATAATTAAAAATTAAAAGATAAAAAAATTTGTTTTGAAATTATAAAGTTTGTGGAGAGTTAACGACATACTTACAAACTGCTCCCTCCAAATGCCTATAATTTTTTATATCGATCTTCATTACAATTTCTACAGAACATATTCATTTATTCAAGAGTATAAAATATGGTTACAAAGTACTTTTTTCCTGATTTATTATTATTTTTATAAATTCGAGTATAAAGTTATGGCAATCATTATGGCGGTTGACGAGTACCAAATTATTTGAATACAAGTATTTACACAGAGTGGCCCAAAAGTCTGGAAACGGCTAATTATCTCGTAAAATGCTAATCATAATTGTATAAAATTTGAAGTACACCTACTTTGGGATACGGAGATTTCATATTTAATATTTACAATGTTGCCAGATTTGCCGTTTTTCTTAAATTATTAGTAACTTTGGTTTTTCAAATATATCACCCTGTATATTCAGTCATTATTGGAATCTACTATTCAATACGAGTTCAACCATAAGTAACACTTATGATTTTATGTAATCTGGAAGGTCATAAATACATAAAACCGAAGTCTGGCAACACCTAAATTGTTTCAATAATTTTTTTAATACTAACTATTTTCAAATACATTAAAACGTAACAATTGATAGTTAAGAACATTTTTTAACATAGTAGTTACGTTATTAAGTGTTCAAAATGTGCTCAATTTGTGAGTTGACAGCATCCTAATCGATGGTAGAAGGCGTCTACCACATTTCTCCATGATTGTCTAGAAATTATTCGAGTTTCATTGATAATTCGTTGCCTTAGCTCTGCAAGACTTGCTGGTTAAGTTTTGTAAACTGAATTTTTCAAGTATCCCTAATAAAAATAATCTTTAGGATTAAAATCGGGTGAACGTGGATGCCATTCAATTCTACCTTGTCTACCAATTTATTGTCCAGGAAATATCTCATCTAAATATCGCCGAACATTTACATCAACTACCTGACGTTAAATTTCTTTCGACAAAAAATTACCCAATTCAATAAATAACTACTATATCTGACCATACATTTAATTTTTGTGGTCTTTGAGTATGGTTTTCACGCATTCAGTCTTCAGTGTAAATTTACGTCACACCAGTACCTTAAATTGTGTCGATTTACACTTCCACACAGTGGAAAAGTTGCTTCATCGGAAAAACATCTAAAAACTCTAATCTACGACCAAAGTTATCTTCACTTAATTCTTGCAATAAGTTAATTTTGTGCGATTTAAATTTATTTTTACGTAATAAACGTAAGACTGAAGAATGACCTACATCATGTACTTGTGCAACCCTGCCTGGGGATGTATGTGGATCTTCAACAAAACTTTGCTTATATCTGAAGTTTTGTTGTCATTGATAACTCGTTTCGGTCAACCTGATCGGTATATATCTTTTACTTCTCCAGATTCCTCAAATCGCCTTACAGTTTTTTGTACCGTCGTCTTATGAATAGGAGAACGGTTTAGAGAATGGCATTTTAGAGAAGCAATTTAAATTGCAGAACTTTTTGAACCACAACTACTGTCAATTTTAGTTCATAATTTAAATGGTGAACAAATGTCAAAATCACAGCATTATCCATCTAAATATTTAAATTTATTAAAATCTACATATTTTGCACTGTTTTATGTATTTAAGCTGTTTCAGACTACATAAATTCAAGTTAACATATAGTTGAACTGGTATTGAATAGCTGAACTCGTGTGAAATTCACACTGAATGCGTGAAAACCATACTCAAAATTACAAAAATTAAATGTATGGTCAGTTATAGTAGGTACTTATTTAATTGGGCCATTTTTTATCGAAAGAAATTTAACGTCAGATAGTTGGTGTAAATGTTCGGCGTTATTTAGATGAGATATTTCCCGGACGATAAATTGGTAGACAAGGTAGAATTGAATGGCCTCCACGTTCACCCGATCTCAATCATGGAGAAATGTGGTAGACGCATTCTACCATCGATTAGAGTGCTGTCAACTCACAAATGGAGCACATTTTGAACACTTAATAACGTAACTATTATGTTAAAAAATATTCTAAACTATCTTAAGACCTTCCAGACTACATAAAATCATAAGTGTTACATATGGTTGAACTCGTATTTAATAGGAGATTCCACTAATGACTGAATATACAGGGTAATGCATTTGAAAAACCAAAGTTACTAGTAATATAAGAGAAACTGAAAATCTGACAACATTGCAAATACCAAATATGGAATTTTCGTATCTCAAAATAGGCGTATCTCAAATTGTGTATATTTATGTCTAGTAATTTACGAGATAATTAGCCGTTTCCAGACTTTTGGGCCACTCTGTATATTAATTATTTTAATATGCCAGATCAAACCAGTATTTTACTGTTGAACTAAACAGACTGACCGAGACTAAGAATTAGAAAAATACAAATTAAGCATTGCATTATAATATTAGTTTATTTTTGGTAAAAAAATAATTTCTGATTAGACGCAAAGTACTGACAAAAAGTTATAATTTATTTAAAAAAAATACGTTAGTAACAAAAGACATAAATACATTTTCTGAATTTATACATACAAGAGGACATAATTTATGATACGCATTTTTAGTAAAATATCACGTTAATATTTTTTATAAGACCAACCTGTAAAACTGATTTATGGCTGCCGACATTTAAGTAGCGCCCTATTTTATTCTGTCCTTTCGCACTTTTCCATTCAAATCGAGGGGCCGGTTCGGCTTCGACTTCACATGTAAGGTTAACATTTTCCCCTAAAAATCCATAAACTTCTTCGTCTTGTTCCCAGACAGATGGTTGTTCTGTAAAATTTAGAACAAATTAATAGAAAATATATAGTCTTAAAAAATGTTTTTTGTTTAATTTAAATGAAAATCATCAATTATTATTGTCCTAAAGGGTAGTGTAATACATGTAATAGGTACAATTTATATTAACAGGTCTTACAGTACTGGTAAACTTTAAAACTTAGTCGTTTGGTTAACTCAATACCATAGAATTGACTCAAAAATAGTGAGAATATCGTTTTAAAGTCATCTACTTTAAAAGATATAATATACGTCTGAATTGGTGATATAAATTTGTATTTTGAGGACGATTTTAAAGGTAAATTGTGTCTTTTTCTAGCTAAAATGGTAATGAGTTTTGTAATATGTTTCGGATTTTAATATTAACTCCCCTACAGCAGCACCGTCGTAAGTGTCCGCAATTAATTTATAGGGCGAGTCTTTTAAAATAGGATTAGTTTGTTTCAAAATACAAGTCGAAATCGCAACAGCATTTTGACTTTCCCGATTTGAAAAGCCCCAAAATCTTTGATGTATTTTTATGCCACAAAGGATACGAAGGGATAATTCCGATTTAGTTTAAGCAAAAAATGAAGACTACTTTATTTCACTTTGGTTTTCTCCCTACATATCTGAAGCATACAGTCTAATAGCTTATTTTGTGTAGCTTTTAAAGTACTTTTGAATATCTTTCTTGTAATTAACTCTTTCTAGAAAGAGTTAATTATACCCTTAGTAATCGACTCTTTGGACTAATTATGACCGCGTAGTACAAGTCCTTTCTCCTTTGTTGTGTCGTAAAATTGTTACTGCATTGTTCCATGTTTTCAGTATGCAACAATCTGTTAGACAAAGATTAAAGAAAATTTTTATTTGGTTGAGAAGTGTACGTCCGCCCATCTTTATAGCTTTTTGTTACGACTCCATCTTCTAGTGGTGCTTTGTTGTTTTTCATCTTTTTCATTACGTCTTGGATTTGAAACCTGGTTGATGATTTTGCGTGATATGGCGACATCTTAGTTCGTTTAGTCTTCTCTTTGGACTTGTGTATAGTTTTTGATAGAAGTCAAAACTATGTGTAGTAGTTCTTCTCTATTTGATATGCGGACTTCTGCTTTGCTCTTTAGTTTTTGTATTTCACATTTTTCATTCTTTAGCCATCTTCTCAGGAGTTTCAGACTTTTATTCTCTTCTATAGTTCGGTAAACCTTTTTATTTTTAAATTTTTTTAAATCTTTTCTTATAGCTTTTGATACTTCCTTATTTATTTTCGTAGTTTTTATTCGTCAATGCTTTCGTTTCCTAGAAAAGGAAACACCTTGTTACACAAGAAAGGAGATAAGGCGCATCTAGAAAACTATAGACCAATCAGCTTATTGAACCACATCTATAAAATGTCTACCCGAATAATTACCTCAAGACAAGTTATAAAGTTGGATTTCTTCCAGCCCCAAGAACAAGTTGGCTTCCGCTCAAAATTCGGAACAAACAATCACCTACAAACAGTAAAAACCTTAATAGAAAAATCGATAGAATATAACAGATCAATGGTACTTATCTGCGTAGACTTTCACAAAGCCTTCGATACCGTGGAATTAGACAGCAATATAACTGCTTTGAACAATAATACAATAGACTACCGGCTTACAAAGTTAGTACAAACATTGTACCAAAACCCCACAATGCGTGTCAAACTACTTGATACCATCAGAGAAATTCATAAAAGCGAGGTGTGAGACAAGGCGATACTCTCTCACTTAAATTATTTATAAGAGTCCTCGAATACGCCTTTAAAATGCTATAGTGGGAAAATAGAAGAACAAAAATAGACGGGGAATGCTCAATGATCTGCGTTTTGCCGACGATATAGTACTTATTTAACGAAGATCTGCGTAAAGCACAACAAATCCTACAAGAATTAGAAAACGTATCTTTAACAATAGGTTTAAAAATTATCATCAGTAAGACTAAATGTATGACAAATTCACCTAACCATCCAAAATCAAGCGGTAGAATTGATAAAAAAAGTGTATGTATCTCGGTCATGAAATCAGAATAAGCAAGGATAATCAGACCTGTGAATTTCAACGACAAATAACACTTGCTTGGGCGGCGTATGGTTCACTAAAAGACATTTTTAAGAGCAATATCCCGATAGCTATGACACGACAGATATTTGACCAATGCGTTATTTCTAATATGACATACGGAGCAGAAACTCTTACTCTCGCAAAAGCACTAAAAATGCGAGAGGCACAAGGAAAGATCGATTCTCCGTGTGGCAAAAAAGACAAAATAAAGAACCAAGAACCAATGTGGATGAGAAGAGTGGCGAAAAATGGGAGAGGCCTATGTCCAGCAGTAAACAGAAGAGGTTGCACGATGATAATATTGAGTACAAGTCCACATTGGACGCATAACTTCAAAATATCGATAATTTTTGACAGAATGTAGCGGCTTTTTGATACCAAGCGCCACTACACACGAATGCTGTAGAGGCATACTGCTAATTATTTGACCCTAAATCATGCATATATCTGTCAGTAACAATAAATGTAGAAACCTGTTTTTGTATGAGGACTTTTTACAGTGTAAGAAAGTCAAATAAGGAAAGCTTGTGTCAAAATTCAATGTAAATGTTTATTGAAACTTTATTTCATCCACTTGTAATTTGAGTGTTTTGCATACATAATTGGAGTTTATAACTCTCTTGGTATATAAATACATACCAAAACTGTAGAAACAAACACTCTTAGATCAAATTAAATTACTCTGTATTTTGTTTATAATTATTAGCATAAAAATTATTTGGAATATAATTTTTTGGAAAAACGCAAAAACACTTCAATTAATATCTGAAGGGGGAGGCATAATATCATATTTAAGGTTGCTGGAAAATGCACCCTCACACCCCCTGTATCAACCCTTTATTTTTTTAAATTACTTCCCCTTTTTTTTCGTATTTGGATTCTCCTTTTTGTACTGATTTCAGAAATGTATAATACATGATACTTGAAGTGATTAGTTTATGAGAAAAGTAAATACAAAAGCAAGAAAATTGGATTCAGAAAAAATTATTTCTAAAAGTTTTATTGCACACATTTAGAACAAACATTTTACTACTAAAAGTTTTTACAATAATTGTTCAAAATTACTGCCTTTCACTTCCATACAATAGTACAATCTATTTTGAAATTCTTCTCTGACATTGCTTAACACGTCTGCATTTAATTGTCGACATTCATCCTCTATTCTTTGTTGTAAATCAACTAGATATTCTGGTTGAGTAGCATAATTTTTGTTTTTAAATACTCCCATAAGAAGAAGTCTAGGGGTGTTCAATCCGGTGACCTAGGTGGCCAATCGATGAGCTGTCGTGTTTTACCTATCCAAGGACCGGGAAACGTTTCGTTTAAAAATTATCGCACAGTTAAAGCAAAGTGTGGAGAAGCTCCATAATGTTGAAATACAACCAAATCATCGGAAAGGTTATCATCATTTTCTACTATTGTTCTAACGATTAACCACTTGCCTATATAATTCAAGATACGATGCACCATTTAAGTTTCCAGTGATAAAGAAGGGTCCGATAATATGATTACGTAGGATACCACACCATACGTTTAACCTTTGAGGATGCTGTGTGTGAAATTCGCGTTCAATAAGTGGATCACTCTCAGCCCAGTATGGGCAATTATATCTGTTCACCAAACCGTTTAATATAATGAGCATTCATCCGAGAAGCAAATATTGTTTAACAATTGTGGATTGTTAATGATGCATTGTATCATTAATTCGCAACATTCGGGACGACGATTAAAATCTTCTTCATTTAACTCTTGTACTAATTTAATTTTCTGTGGATAAAACTTAAATTTATGGAGGACTCGGAAGGCTGTAGAAGATGAAACACCGATTGCTCTGCATATTGTCGACAGTGACTGTGATTGTTAAGAGTCTAAGTTAACTTGCCCTAAAACGGCTACTTAGATTGCTTTTTTATTTACAAGTTCCTGTCGGCTATGTTTTTTATTGCAAACTGACCCTCTTGCTCTAATTTTTTCTGCATCAGTTTAATCACACACTTATGAGTTGCATGTCTATTGTGGTGTGTTTGATTAAAAATTCTAGCAGCAGCTCTTGCACAATTATTATTTTTGTAGTATAAACCTACAATTTTGATTCTTTCTTGCAAAGTGTACACCATTTTAGCGATCAAATTGCAAACGTATCAAAAATAAGCTGTTACTTACAAGTTATAACAAATTGTCGCTATTAACCGATTAAAACAAATGTAAAAATGATATCGAAAACCTTTGATAAAACTTGAATAAAAAGTGAATTTTTTTGTTTCTTGGTTTTTGAAGGTACTACAAATAGTACGGTTAAATATTTAAAGAGTTTAAATTATGCTACAACCTATTTTGTTAGAGTCAATTAAGGTGAGGGAGATACTGTCTTGTTAACAGGAAAATTGTCTATCGGATAAACTAATCACTTCAAGCCAAAGGTATTATACATTTTTGAAATCAGTACAAAAAGGAGAATCTAAATATAAAATTAAAAAGGGGGAAGTAATTTAAAAAAAAATAAAGGGTTGATACAGGGGGTGAGAGGGTGCATTTTCCAGCAACCTTTAATATGATATTATGTCTCATCCTTCAGATATTATTTGACATGTTTTTGCGTTTTTCCAAAAAATTAGAGGTTCAAAAGTTATTTCAGGTGGATAGTTTTATCTGAAAAGCACTGTATTTTGATCTTAGTAACTTTTAGTGCATTATTAGTTGGCAAAATATTGCAGTATTGCCAGTTCGTTTCTCGCTGCTTTTTGTTATTGTATTTGTGGATTGGAGGTTAGGTCGTGTTGGTTATTTAGTTTATCGTTTCAATTTTTGCTACAAATTAAACTAAAAAAAAATTCCTTTGTAAAAGGTATAATAATAAAATCTTATCGGGCTAGATCACAGAACGTTTTCGAAATAACTATTCCATCATCAGTGCTATCTGGATATACATGTTTGAAGCCACCAAATATATGGGTAAAAACTCCTTAAATGTAGTTTGATTTACTTTGATATTTAAGTTACAAAAGGAATGGGTCACTTTTGTATCTTAAACATCATACACTGAACGGACAAAAAAAGTGATCACCCTATAACTTTCCGAAAATAAAACTTCACCGGAAGTTTTATGTACTGTTACATATTGTGTCTAAATTTCAATATTGATTGTGATCATGTATGCTTGTTTTTGTCAGTTTTGACGTTTTTGTTGTTGTTGTTTATCTTCCAAGTTAAAAAAATTTAATTAAACAGTAATTTTGCTTTTCAACCGTGGATTTCGACTAAGTGAATAATTAAGATATGGTGTTATCTACAGTAGATGTTGCTTGAAATACTGCATTGCTACAAGAAGGAAGAAGTTTATGTACTCCGAGAACTACAGTACGGAAAGCTTGCCATCACTTTATTAAGACTGATACATACTCACGTCGACCTGATTCAGGTCGTAGAAGAATTACCTCGCAAAGCGATAATCGTTTTAATGTGATGGAACGTTTTAGTAATCGCCATTCCACTGCAATTGCTACAAGAAATATTTACAGGAGGTACGAAATGTGAATGTGAGAGAATGGTTAGACGCCTAAATGAAAGAGGACTAATGGCAAGAAGAGCGGCCATTCTTACCGAATTACAACTGAGGCACTGTAGGAATCGATTAATTTTTGCTGGACAACATCAACACTGGGATATACAGGATTGGAGCCGAATTCTCTGTACTGATGAATTGCGGTTGTGTTTGAAGCCTGGCGATGGCCAAGGGAGGGATTGGAAAAAATGCAAGATATGCCAAGCTTGTATGTCCCAAAGAAGAAAGTTTGGTGGTAGTGGTGTTATGTTTTGGGCTAAAATCTCATTTGAAGTTCGAACAGAACTTATTTCATCAATGGCCCCCTGAATGCTCACCGGTATATAGAAGATGTTTCGGCAGAAAAAATAGTTAAATTTGGTCCATTTATTGGGGACAATTTCATCTTTATACATGATAATGCACGGCGGCATACTGCAAGAATCGTAAGAAATTACTTGGGGAAAGCAGTAATTAATAGTCTAGAATCGCCAACCTGTATCCCTGATCTGAGCAGCATTGAACATCTTTGTAATGAACTTCATCATAGGGTTCAGCACTTCAAAATATGCTTCGTGAATAATATGAAATTATCCTCACGTTTTTGTTCAAAATTTGTTCCTTTTCCTTCCAAATCTATTTTCTATATAAAAAATAAAAAGTGAGGTTAGGTTTAAGCAGTGTTAAGAAGAATATCGAAAATGAAAAAATAGTTTGAAGATGCACGAGTTTATTGTGCGACGTCATTTCATTCTTATCATAAAAGAAGTTTTAAAAATATTATTGTACTTACCTCCTGTTTCTGGATCTGGTGGTATAGTGATTGGTACAGGTTTATCTAGAACAATAGATATTATAACTAATAGTTTAAGACAACCCAGTGTATGTTAGTTTATCAGGAGAACGGAATAATGCCACGTCCTCAGCATGCACAGTAAAAGCACATGTGTGTACGGGGAAATATCAAAATGTTATATGTAGTAAAGTGTCCTCGCAATAAACAAACAGACCTCTAAGGTACATTGAAACTGATAGATATGGAAAAAATATATAAAAAAATAAATTGAAAGTAGACAACAAACACACCACTAATTTAATTTACACAGGTGTATTTAGCAGGTTATTAGCAGACTACGAACACAATATATCGGCATTATCTTAGTGTAAACAAAAATACCACAACATACAAGACAAAGACAAAGTACAGATTGCCTGATGAAACTAAGTTCGACGTTAACAGCGAAGAAGCTAAATTCTGGTATTAGATGTAATTTGGCATTAGACGTAAAATTTATCAAAATGATCATTATTATTTTTAATTACTCATATGTATTGTATTTCATTTGACTTTTTTATTTTCTCCTTTAGATGACAATAGTTAAAATTTGGTATTACTTACGTTCAACAATAAATTTAATCTTTTTGTCCATTACTTGTCCTGTCGAAGATTTAAGGGCTTCACAAACAAATATTCGGTTATCTTCTCTAGTTACGTTAATAATAAGAAGTCCGTCGCCGATCTGAATATACTTTGTGCCTAAAAAATAAAAAAAACCGCATGATTAAGAAAATTCATTTAAATTTTAACAGCAGTTTAAGAAAATATAAATTATTTACGATTACTCTTTACTCTTTCACTATATTTTCATGTTAATTTAATTTTTCATACTTTTTAAATTTTTTTCCTACACTTGCACGTATATGCATTCGCTTCTTGACCTCTCGTTAAAGTTATTTTACAAAATTCATTCCTTTTTGCTTTTTAAAATTTTCTTTTTATTTAGCATATCTCAAATTTTAGTTTAACTAGTTTTTTCAAATGTAATACATAGAAAAATATTTTAATTATGACTAGACAATAATTTTTCTTTCCATTTAAGTTCCAACTAATTGAACGTGTACATTAGCATTCTGAATTGTTAAAAACATTTAGTATCATCAACCAATACATAAGGACTAAGTGTAACAAACTTTGTTTCTTAGTTATTTTTTTCCAAGAATCATGTACTCAATATTTACGTTCATTGCTCACTATCAACGATTTATTTGTAATTAGATCGTCTTCATCCAAACAGATAGCCACAATAGAGAAATCGTGGTTATTGAAATGTTTCAATATTGCGCGCAAAATACCTTCCACGATTAACTGACAAAATAAAGGATTGTAAAATCGGAAAGAAGTCTGAAGCGAGCATGATATGTGTGTCCATTCCTTTCTGATCCCACACCTATTCCATTTTTGTATATAAACGAACAAGAGTATTATTGGAAGGCTGAATGACAGGTGTGTCCAAGCCTTAAGTTTCCATGAAACAACCTCATTGTATGCAGGTGTCCCCTGACTGAAGCATGTCTAGTAAAAAAACTTTTATAATTGCTGCTTGGTTTCCGCAATAGATACTTTAGCCATATAGCACATGCTATATACCTTGTTCAAAACAAATGTACATAAGGACATATACCTGGAATACATAAATATATACTCTTAGTGAAATATAAATGCATATACTTCCACCACTACTGTAAATTCTATTTTCTCTATTTTCTATAACGTCGCAGTTTAGACGATGTGTTTCCCATGTTAAATTTCCCTTGTCCACTTAAAAAGATACTTTAAACCTATATCTAGATACTACATGGTTAGAAGTCATCATACATACAATTTAATTTGTGGTGTTGCTTTCTGCTGATCTAGCAATTAGGTTCAACAGGGTTTTTCTATTGTCTGTAATATTCTATCCTTGCTCTCTTCATTATAATGATGGCCAAAGAATCGTCGAGTAGGGTCTCTATACCTCTTGTTGGTGTGTTCCCAAGATCCCGAAAAATAGAAAATAAGCGTACTAATCCGGATGCTTAAAAAATGGAACAAAAAAGAACCAGAAAACTCTAAAACAATTAATATATTAAACGCCATGCTGACAAAAGATGTTTCTACATTATTAAGCGAGAAAATATTACTTATGGCTGAGCAAGGCTTTAAAAGCTAAAGATTATTTAAAGACAAATCACAAAAATGCACTAACATACAATCTACTGGTGTTTCTTTGCTTGATTTACCTTAAAAAAGCCTTTGACAGAGTACGGCTAAAGGACAGGCTAGATAAATATTTGAGAGAGAGAAAAGATACCGACACAGATATAAGTCAGCTTGACTCCTTAAGTTATTTCCTCTTTAAATCTCTTAATGGATAAAATAATCCTCCCTCTTCCTCGCAGAGGAAGAGGGGGAAAGACCACAAATGAAATGAGATGGGCGGTTGATACTAAGAAGATCGTAGGAGACAACTGGAAGCAAGTGGCACAAAATAGAAGGTTTTGGATTGATTTGGGGGAAGCCTATGTCCAAAGTTAAATTACTTGAGGCTGAAGAAGAAGGATGAAATAATAAAAACCATGAAGAGAGGTAAAAGTTATAAGAGGGAAAATAACAAAATTACCATCCTATGGTATAGAAGTGATGCCATACTTCTAGCAGAAATCAGGACGACTTGCAAATATTGCTTCATAAGTTCAATATAATAGCAAAGAAGCAAATGTGGCCATTTCAGCCAAAAAAATAAAAACAATAGTCATCAGCAAAGAACCAACCAGATATAAAATAGAAATTGACGAAACCAGCATTGAACAGATTATGTAAATTAACTCTTTAGGGATCACACTATGTATGGCAATGTAGAACCAGAGGTAAAAAACAATATATGTCTAAGCAATACAAAATAGAGGTGCAGACACATTGGAATCAAAACTAATATAGGAATTTACAATGCAGCTATAAGACCAATAATAGCATACATGGGAGCAACGAGAATTGATACATCCAAATTAAAAGGATGCTAGAAATAACAGAAATACAAATACTAAAAAGAATTCCGAAAAATATACTGGGAAATCAAAAACGAAGTGGCGAAATCAGAACAGCATGCACGGTGGAAAAGATAGGCAAGGGGATACTCAATAGGAAAAAAACAATAGAACAATCATATAAGCAGAATGACAGACGATAGGGTGTTCAAGATGGCAAGAAACAAATCGTTGTTGGGTAGAAGAAGTGTGGGGAGTCTATAGAAAAGATGGAGAGACAATACGAGCTCTAACAATTATATGTTGGAACAAGCAGTTATTTTGCGAATATTTCGGTCAATTGACATTCAATTGACCGAAATTCTTTTATTTATTTATTTTTAAAATTTTAATTATTAAATTAACAACATTTTTTATGATGTATGGAATCATTTTTGCGGCTTAATTATATATTTTATATTAATTATTATTTAATTAATTGTTTGATAATCAAAAACTGCTGGCAACTACATATTGGAACATATTTTGCTTTTCCTCGCGTTTTTTAAATTTTATCAGCCTTGCTCTAGAAAGGCTTTGAAATCAAACATACGAGTAGGTAGTGCATTGTCAACAATATTTATCATGCGTCAAATAAGTATAAATAAAGACAACTGTCAGTTTTATTACGAGTAAAATATAATAATGGCACGTGGAAAACCTGTTGATCCAAAAGTTCGAGAAATTATTATTCATCAGTACCCGGAAAGAAAAACAATGCGTGAAATTTTCAATGAATTAACTGCAGCAATAACTACTGTGTTTAATATAATTAAGAAATATGGTGAAACTGACAGTATTAATGTATGCTTCAAAAGCTCAGGCCGTCCAAAAACTGTTTCTCAAAGGCTTGTAAAGTATTTAATTAGAATACATAAGTCCGAAAGAGAAAATACACTACGGGAAGTAGAAGGAATGCTGCTAGAAGGAATAAAAACACTCTGATGAATGCTTTCAGAAAATCCTGTTACAAATATATCCACAAAATGGTCTTACTTTTATAAGGTATGTTAGTTCATAGTTTTATCTTTGCGATATAAATTTTCTATTTTTTGATTTATTAGTGTAGGTCGAAAAAACCATTGTTTACGAAAACTTAAAAAGGAATCGTTACATTTGGGCTAAATCAAAACTTTCGTGGACAAAACATACCTGGGACAAAGTAATCTATAGCGAGGAAAGCAAATTTGATGTCTGTAGAAGATTATCGAAAGCGTGTAATTCGGGAAAAAACAGAAGCATTCCATAAGGATTTTCTCAAAATAAATGTAAAGCTTCCACAGAGCATCGTGGTGTAGGGTTGTATATCGTCCAAAGGGTTGGAAACTTTACATTTTATTGAGACCATAGTAAACGCAGCCAAATATCAAGATGTCCTTGAATATTCGTTTCTACCAAGTGCGTGCAAAGTTATATCCATTCCGAGATTTTATCTTTCAGTAGGACGGAGCCTCATATCATACGGCTAAATATACTAAAAAAAGGATTGGATAACATGCCATTAAAGTTTTGTCACATCTTTCTAGATGATCTGGATCTTAATCAAATAGAGATACTTCTGTGTCAACAGAATTCTGAAAAGGCCTAGTTGATACAATATCTTATATTGTTTTGGCTGTTATTCAAGCTAAGCGCGACGTTATGCAATATTAAGATTTCTTTTAATTTGTTAAAAACCCGTTGTTCCAATATTTAGTTGTCAGTATTGTTTGGCTATCAAACGATTAATTAAATAGCAATGAACATAAACTATATAATTGAACTGTAAAAATAATCCAATTATACATCATAAAAAATGCTCTCAATTTCATATTTACATTAAAAAAACAATAAAATAAAAGTATTTCGAAAAATTGGTATTTAATTTGCAAAATAACTGCATGTTCCAAAATATAATTGTTAGGGCTGGTATTACATGAAGGCCCAATCTAATAAAAGACAAACAAGAAGAATTTCCCAATAAGAAAATAGTAAAAGAAGAACTTTTAATCTAGTTTTTAAGTTATTTTCATAATATTAACAGATTTAAATATTATTTTCCCATTTGATGCTGTTTTTTATCTGAGTTATTGATTTCCAATATATTCAAGAAGAGAATAGCATCTTCATCCCACCGACTCTTATCTTATGATAGTGATTGTTCCTTTTTTAAGAACGCTGGTGAGAAAAAGAGATCTTTCCTCTCCAGCTTTTTCTTTTTTATATATTAAATTTTATATTTTAAACCTATGTACAGGTATCTTCCAGTATTTTTTTTGTTAACAATCTTTTTTAACTATTCGTCAATTTCGTCAATCATAATGTTTTGACAATTTCCCTAAGTGAACGAGAAATTAATGTCCCAATTTAATGATTTTAGATTTAAGATTCTACCTTTGTCTCTCTATTCAGTTACTAATAGTTAAGCCTTATAATTTTTTATTTTATTTCTTACCTACTTCATCTTCATGTTCATCTAGTTGCCAACTGATCTTATATGGTCTATTGACTTCACATCTTATCGTGGCATTATCTCCTTCCTTGCCACGTTGAACTTCTGGAGTGTCTTTAAATTTTAAAGCATCTGAAATGAATAAAAAGAGTTATTTAATATTACAAAATAAATTATTTTAAAATCGTTTAAACTTTTAATCAACAAGAAAAGTGTTCAGCGTTTTTCATATTCTTTTTATTGCGTCGTCTTTTTTCTAAGGTTGGACATCCAAATGGCAATTGCAGCTTTGGAAACTGCTGTACGAAAGATTTCTGTGGATGAGCGGTTAAATCATCTCCTCAGGTCTTTTAACCGCGAGTTCTGGCGTCTTCCAAATGAGATTTTGCTCTGCACTTTTGGAGTTATCGTATCTTTCACCTCTCAACACATAACTTAAGTATTGTATTTTCCTTTCTTTTATTATACTGAAATAGAAAAGCCCAGAAATGATCAGAATTAACTAATGAAGAAGTGATTCATGCAGTACAATCTCAGAAAGATGGAAAAGCCACCGGTCCAGACAATATCAATCTCGAAATACTAAAACTAATTGCAGATAATGAAAGTAAAAGCCTAGACTTAATAACAGCACTATTCAATAAGATATATGACACAGGTAAAATACCAACAGACTTACTAAAATCAACATTTGTAGCATTACCAAAAAGATCGAATTCCTAACAATGCGATGATTATCGATGATATTAAGCTTGATGTCTCATGTTCTTAAAACTGTTCTTAGAATTATCCATACACGAATTTACAAGAAGTGCGAGTTCTAGATGAGTGACACTCAATTCGGATTTCGAAATGGATTGGGAACACAAGAGGCTTTTTTTGCTTTAAATGTGTTAACGCAACGATGCAGAGACATAAATGTAGATGTATATGTATGTTTTATTAACTATCGAAAAGTATTTGACTGTGTTAACCATCAAAAGATGATCGAAATTCTGAGAACAACTGGAGTTGATGAGCAAGACTTGCGAATTATCTCAGAACTATACTGGCACCAAACGGCAACAATTAAAATAAAGTACAAAACATCCGAAGATATATCCGACGAGGAGTGAGACAGGAATACGTCTTATCACCGCTACTGTTTAATTTATGTTCGGAGTCTATATTCAGAGAAGCATTAGACCAGGTCAAAGGAGGAATTAAGATTAACGAAATCAGCATAAACAACATCAGATATGCTGATAATACTGTATTAATAGCAAGCAATACACAAGAACTCCAAATATAATAAATGCGATAGTTCACCACAGCGAAATGTTCGGTTTACATCTAAACGTTTCCAAAACTAAAACTTTAGTATTTTCAAAGACACCAATAAACATACATGTGTATGCCAAGGGTCAAATGATAGAATAGGTAAATTCCATAAAATATTTGGGAGCAAATATAAATAGTCAGTGTAATCCAAAAAAAGAAATAAAATCAAAGAAGGAAAAGAAGAAAAACATTAATGAGCATGAAAACATTTTTTACAAGATCAGACCTTATTCTGCAGCTTAAAATCCGACTGATTAGATGTTACGTTTTTTCTGCCTTACTGTATGGCAGGGGCGGCTGGTCCGATGAGGCAGGTGAGGCAGTGCCTCACCAGTATTAATCGACTATTTACGTTCTTTAACTACAATTTAACTTTTTGAATTTTCTAAATAACTTTATTTTCATTATGATAAAAAATTAAAATAGGTACACCCCTGATGTCTTATCTTTGTATATTTCTTCATAATCTACGGGCCGGACAAGGGACAAGCTTAAACCACAAAATATTAAATAAACAACGGCGCCTATCATCTGTGCATCTCATTCTTTCTTTAAAAATTATAGCCGAGGCAAGCCTCACGGCATTGCTCTGTCTAGCATATTAGACATCACATTATGTAGCGAAATTCAACATGATTTATTTATTTTCTGCCCACTATTTCACCGAACAGGAGAGGCAAGCCTCTCTCGTTTGGTGTAGTTCTTTAATTAGCAGCGTTGCCGTTTTGGTACAAAGGTACCCAATTCGCTACATTTTTTCCCTCGGGGTATAAAAGTACATTTTAAATAAAACATAGATTTTTATTTGAAAATTGTAACAACATTGGAGTATTTTCCTTTAGTAGATGGTACTATACATATTGTTCTATTATTTTCCGATTTAACAAACAATATTTTTTTTCTATGCATTTACCAGATTAGCAACTTTGGTACATTTTGGAACATTTCTGCAAAATTGTTGTAGTAAGTAGTAGTTAAATTACTTCCTGTTGACCTGTTGGTGCGGCAGGATCACGTTTGACGTATCTCGTGTTGTTTTTCATTAAAAAAACAGTAAGATTACATGTTATATAGTAAGTGCAATTCTAATTAAGTTTTTTAATAATTTTGATGAGTTTGTTTTTGTCTGCAGGATTTTCGGTTTTAGTGAAAAATGGATTTAGCACCGAGCACTTCGTCACAACTTTCCCAGGTAAATGTAAATATTCGTAATACTTGTAATCTCGTAAATTTTTTAGTCAAACAGCAGAATTTTTCAAGTCATTCATACGAAGATAAATTATATATAGTTAAAGTAGTAAAACGACCTATTCCAGATTTAAGTAAACATCTTGTTTCTATCGGTGGCGTCGGAAAACCAAATCGGGGATTTCAAAATGCATGGTACGAAAAGTTTGACTGGGTTACGGGTAGTATAACATTAAATAAATTGTTTTGTTGGCCATGCATTTTATTTGCCACAGCTAATACTAGCGACAAAGTTTGGTTCAAAAATGGTTATACTGATTTGAAAAATTTGTCTCGGAGTCTATTGTTACACAATAAAAGTTCTCAACATATTACATCGAATTGCAAGCTTACTCTTATGAGAAAACAAAAGCAAAATATCGCTACAGCACTAGACAATTCGCGTAAAATAGATATTGAAAATTTCAATGCTAGGGTTAAAGAAAATCGGCAAATTTTAAAAAGCCTTATAGATATTACGTCACACCTCTGTATGCAAGAGTTACCGTTTAGGGGGCATGATGAATCTAATGAATCTTTAAATTTGACACTAATTTAAAAACATTTTTAGAACATGATAATGACTCTAGATCAGTTTTTTCTGGGACATCTAAAACCATACAAAATGAATTAATCGATTCAATTGCTTTTGTTATAAATAAAAAAAATTGAGGAAGAAATTTCAAAATCATTATTCTTTTCCTGGCAGGTGGATGAGACTACTGATATAAGCTGCCATTCACAACTATCCGTTATTTTTCGTTACGTAATAAACAATAAACCAGTCGAACGATTCATAGGATTTTACGATGTAAGTTCCGGGCGTTCTGCTCAAGATTTATTTAAATTTTTATCTACCAAATTTGATCGTGAAGAAGATGGCACTAGATTAGCAGTCGCCATTTATAACACTTACTAACAAATCTCCCAGATAAAAAATACCTACTAACCCCCAAAAAAATATAAAAATCCCAAAAAAATTAATAAAAAATATATAAATTTAAAAAAAATATAAAATAATAAAAAATTCACAAAAAAAATTATAAAAATACAAAAAGGCCACGGGAGAGGCCACCTAGATCCTTGAGGCTACAACTTTTCCGCTAACCAAGGTGCAGGTTCGAGGATTACAGCTCCCTCGTTTTTCGTTCGCTTTTATCTCACGATATGAGATTTCATGATAAACGGGAGTAAGTCGCTTAACGACACCTTGGGTATGATTTAAGTTACATTTATGAGCACCCTATTACACATGGTGCTCATAAATACAGCTCAATCGCGGACTTTTTCAAAAAGCAGTCAGCCCTTATGTTGCACCTTCAGTGCACATAAGGGAGGGTGGAGGAGGGCTTAGGAGAGCTTTGAGGTGAGGATGACTTTTGTTGATCCGCGCGCGTATCGTCAGAAGTCCTTCTCACCCCAAGTCATTGTTTGCTGGCGCGAGCAATGCCTCCTTAGCCGGGTATGACTGGAGCAAAGAGAAGCTAACCATAATAATAATAATTTTCCTTAAGTGTAGTGTGCCTCACCAGCTTGTACTATCACGAGCCGCCCCTGCTGTATGGTTGTGAAAGTTGGACAATGGAGTCTGAAATAGAAGAAATAATAGATGCCTTTGAGACGCAGAAATGCAATACTTGGGTCATGTGTTGAGAGGCGAAACATATGAATTACTTCAAGTTATACTAGAAGGAAAAGTACAGGTCAAAAGATTAGTAGGAAGACGTAAGAATTCAAGGCTGAAAGACCTGAGGAGATGGTAAAACGAACACAGCTGTTTAGCAATATATGAACCCATCTTACATTAAAAAACACGTGGTGAAACTACAAAAAAAAAATCTTACTACGAAGTAAAACTTCTTCTGTAAAACGATAGGTACTTATAAAATTTATTAAAATATTTTCAAAAATATTCAAAATGCATTTATAAATGTCAGAACGTTTTCACTCCTATCCGACGATCCTCAGTAAAAAACCTTAAAAAAATAAATCGTTAGGCGCTAAGTCACAATATCTAGCAAGCTATTTAATTGTACCACGTGTACTTATCAGTGGATCAGGAAACGTTTTGAAATTTCTGAATGCAGATTGCAGATTAAAATACATGTCGTGGAATGCAAATTTGCAAATTAAAATACATGTCGTGGAATGCAAATTTTAGATTCCCCATGTCCCTTTTAACATCTTTTATCGACGCCTGTTTGCCTTGCAACTTTTAGAAGGCACAGATTATAAGTAGAAATCTGAATTGTGTTTCGAAACTATTTTACGGATTTTGTAATAAGATGTCGCTATCGCGTCCCTATTGAAGCAATTTTATTGTTGCTTCTTAAAAGACAGAAAATATTGATTTTTCACGTTGAGAACCCCTATGAATAGATGTTCTGATGAGAGTTCTAAGGTCGAAATACGTATCAACAGATACATAGGGATTGTTTGCGTGAAATCAAATATTTGCTGTCTTTTTCATTTTATTTCGGATATACTCTGTGTGAGTACTAGAAGCACAATTCGCTAAGGATTTCTGCTTAGTTGTAAAGACATGTCGTGGAATGCAAATTTTAGATTTCCCATGTCCCTTTTAA